CCCTCCCTCACTCTGTCCCCTCCCACCTCAATACTCCTTCCCTCACACTGTCACCTCCCTCCCACCCTCACTCTGTCCCCTCCCTCCTACCTCAATACTCCCTCACTCACTCTGTACCCTCCCTCCCACCTCAATACTCCTTCCCTCCCACTTCAATACTCCCTCACTCGCTCTGTCCCCTCCCTCCCTCCTCAATACTCCCTCAATCGCTCTGTCCCCTCCCTCGCTCGCTCTGTCCCCTCCATGGGCCACATTCTGTTCTCACACCGAGGGCCATTTCATTCTCTCCCCTCAATCCTGTCACACATGTACACTCTGTTCCCCATGGCTCCCTACATTGGCTGTACTGCTGTCACTGCTCCCTCACAGGAACTCACTGAAAGCTGCTCCTGTGTAACAGTGGCCAATATCCGAAATAATTAAACATTTCAATGCATTATGCTGTCTGTCAGACTCTGTGTGAACAGGAAATGAAGACAGAAACCCATCTTAAGACCAGTGAACCACAAAATCCCAGCAATAGCAACATCAGAGTGTTGTATACAGACTGTGCACAGGACAAGGCACATCACTGTGCTGAGGGAGGGAGACAGAGAGAGACTGAGGGAGACCTGCCCATTTACCTCCTCCCTCCCCAGCATCCAAGGGCCCAAACACACCTTCCAGGTGAAGCAACACTTCACCTGCCCTTCCCAGAATCTATTCTACTGCATTCACTGCTCACAATGTGGTCTCCTCTATACTGGGGAAACGAAGCGTAGACTAGGTAACCACTTTGCAGAACATTTACATTCTGCTCGCAAAAAAGATCCTGAGCTACCTGTTCCCTGCCACTTTAACACACCACCCTGTTCCCCGGCCAACATCTCTGTCTCTGGCTTGCTGCAGTGTTCCAGCAAAGCCTAACGCAAGCTGCAGGAACAACATCTCATTTTCCACTTGGGGACCCTGCAGCCCTCTGGACTCAATATCGAGTTCAATAATTTTAGGGCCTGAACTCTCCCATGTCCCAGCCCCCTACCCTAACACCAGGCCTTGTTACCACATAGACTGCCATTACACACTACCTGTTAGTCACTAACAATCCCCATTAACAACTATTCACCCTCCCAGCCTGATCGTTATCAACTCCTTTTTCTATCCAACTGGTCTTCTCTCTCTTTGGTCTCTATCTTTATCCTATAGTTTACTCCCTACCCCATCCACCTCCCTATCTTCTGCATATAAACTGACGTTTTCGCAGCCACCATCAGTTCTGAGGCAGGGTCACCGGACCCAAAATTTTAACTCTGATTTTTTTCCTTTCACAGATGCTACCAGACCTGCTGAGCTTTTCCAGCAACTTCTGTTCTTGTTCCTGATTTACAGCACCCACAGTTCTTTCGGTTGTTAAAAATATTCTCCCTAGTTTTGAACTCTCAGACCCTTGGGTAAATGCACCTGCCATTCACCTCATCTGTACCTCTCGTGATTTTATAAACCTCTATAAGGTCACCCCTCAACCTCCTACACTCCAGTGAAAAAAGTCCCAGCATACCCAGCCTATTTTTTTTACCCTCTCTTCCTGGCCACAGCTCGCTAAGTTCACTGATGACGCGATGTGGTCAATAGGAAAGCCTTAGGATGAAATGGACGGGCTGGTCAGATGGGGTCGAACAGGGACAAATGGAATTCAGTCCTGAAAAAGTATGAGGTGATCCATTTCAGGAGGACTAATGGGGTAAGGGAGTCCGCGATGAATGATGGGAATTACAGCAGGATCTTGCTGTGTATGTCCACAGATCCCTGGATGCAGCCGGTCCAACAGATTAAGGAAGGTATATGGGTTACTCACCTTTATTAGTCAGGGCACGGAGTATACATGCGGGGCAGGAGATGGTGGAGATGTGTGTAATGTTGGTGAGGCCACAGCTAGAGTACTGCGTGCCGCTCCAAACCCGACACTGTGTTGCGGGGGTGTGGTGGGATGACACTGGAAGGTGGTGCAGAGGCAGATCACCAGGATATTGCCTGGGATGGAGAGTTTCAGCAATGGAAGGAGGCTGGATATGCTCGGATTGTTTTCCCTGGAGCAGGGAAGGTTGGGGCTGGGGGATAGGAGCGGATCCTGATAAAGGCGTACAAAGTTCTGAGGGGCATTGCTGGAGTGGATTAGGGAGTAATGTTCCCCCTCTGTAGATGGGTCAGTAAACAAGAGGCACTGTTGTAAGGAGCGGGAGGCTTAGAGGGGATCTGAGGACGAATGTTTTCACCCAGGGGCTGGTGGGGGATCTGGAACTCATTGCCTGTGAGGGTGAGAGAAGAGGGAACCCTCAGAACATTGAAGAAGTATTCAGATGAACAGCGCAGCACATAAGGTGATGGGCCAAATGGCTCTAGCAGAACACTTGTGGCACTGCAGTAATGTCCCTGGAGAGCCGGCTGTTCCAGACGTGTGTTGAAACATCTATGAACAAGATCATTAGAAAATATCACAGGGCTAGTGTTGTTAAATGGAGTTAGAACGGATGGATGTTGGATGGCCAGTACTGGTTAAATGGGCTGAAGGGCCTGTTTCTATGCTGTTAAATACTCTACCTCTGCAAATCAAGGACAATTACAGACTTGCAACAACAACAACGGTGAAGCCCATCTTCTCCCAGGATGCTGCAAGAGAAAGGTGACATGGAAATGAAGCTTGTTGTTGTATTGTGAACCTCAGTTGTTGTTGTAGACCAGCCCCTTTACCGTCATCCTTTCGTCCCGCCCCAAACCCTCCGTTGCCGTCCAATCACCCGTTTCCCTTTCGCGATTGACAACGATTCCATCCATTCGATTTACATCGCATACGAGCCCCGCCTCCCCGCACACGGATTGGAAGACATTCATGACTGACGGAGCCTGTGTCCAATCAGTCAGACAATTAGCTACGTACATCTGTCCCCGGAAACTAGGCGGTGGGTGGATCGCCGACTCGTGTCCTGCCCGCTGCCGTCGGAACTCCAACCAATCATTCACCAAGGGCTACGATCGACAACAAACTCTACCAATAGAAAGGAGAATAAACAAGGGGGCGGGAGGTGATGGACGGCTACATTGACCAATCAGATAGTGATTGACGGGATCTGGTCCAATGGAGGGCTGGGGTTTGGTGATTGACGACGTTTACGTCAAATTGGAGCCGACGTCCTGCGGTGACCCACCCACAGGCGGTACACCATCCAATGGGAGCCGGTATTTAGCGACAACCGCTTCTGCCACACTGATTGACGGCGGCATAGCCCAATCAGATTGCGATTAACGGCTACGTTGTTTAATCGGACGATGATTGACAGCAGAGATCGTCGGAACTGCAGATGCTGGAGAATCTGAGATAACAAGGTGTAGAGCTGGATCAACACAGTGTCTGAAGAAGGGTCTAGACCCAAAACGTCAGCTTTGCTGCTCCTCTGATGCTGCTTGACCTACTGTGTTCATCCAGCTCTACACCTTGTTATCGATGATTGACAGCAGCCTCTTGAAGGGAGTCCATAGTCCAGCTGTGACCCACCCCTGGGGCACAGAATGAACGTAGCGCTATCCAATGGGAGCCGGCAACTACCTTTCCCCGCCCCCGCGAGGCTGATTGACTGTGATGTGGTCCAATCATACACTGAAATACGGCCGCGTGGTTGAAACGGACGGTGATTGACGGCAGGTTGTCCAATGGGAGCCGTGTATTCCGCGGCAGCTCCCGCCCAGTGCGGGTGATCGACGGCAAAGCGATCCAATAAATACCGCGCCCGGCGCCGGGACCGCCCCCTAAGTAGGCGGGTCTGTAGGAGGGGGCGGGACCTGAGGCAGTGGCGGTGTTTGTTCAGTCATGGCGGCCCCGGCTGAGGGCAGCGAGAGGGCGGCGGCGGCGGGAGAGGAGCGGCCGGGACAGGCCCAGGCCGACAGGGGCAGCTTCGAGTGTAACATCTGCCTGGACACCGCCAGGGACGCGGTCATCAGCCTCTGCGGCCATTTATACTGGTCAGAGGGAGGGAGGAGTCTGGGTCTGGGTCTGGGTCTGGGTCTGGGTCTGGGGGGG